TTTATTTACTCCTGGATGACAGATCAAACTCGTCCACATATGTGTACAAGTCCGTGAGAGTGTTTGTTGCCGTTGTAAAGCAAGATTTGTTTGTTGTCTCACATTTAAGATTTATCATCAAATCGGGCGTTATAAATTTACTTGTATTTCTGTTGTTATTACTATTTTTGTATGTTTCGTTCACTTATTTATTTTTATATTTATTATCGGTGAAATCAAGTGATGATAGTATCGCTTGATATCGCACATCCACATTATGATTATTATGCACTTTTCTTATCTTTACTATCATTTAAAACAGTCGTAGTAAAACATTTTATCGTATAATTTTCATTCATTCAGTTTCCTTTCAGATATAGAACATTTTACTTGTTTATAAAAATATCCATACACACATTGTCTTTCACTTTAACAAGATATATCTAACTTTTTCTCTCTCACACACACATACGTCTACATGAACTCTTAGATATAAGTTTAATTGTAAAATTAAATTGAACATAAAATTAAATTTAATATAATACTATATAGGTGTCTAATGGGTTGGAGGTTAATTTTCGCGTAAAATCCCCACTTCAAGATTAATAAAGCTACCCCGTTGATGAATTGTTTACCCATTAAATGATTGTTCACCCTCCTTTGACCACTTCCGGTTTTATATTGGTAACAAATTTGAGATCTCAGTTTTGAAGACATTCATATATAGAATCTTAAAGTTTATTGAAAGTGTAAACGATCATTACATATATATATATATATATATATATATATATATATATATATATATATATATATATATATATATATATATATATATGACTATATATATACGCCTTTATCCCTGATATTGATTTAGCTCAAACTTTAAAACTGTATTTTTATTATCTCTCTGTCTATTTCTCTAACTTTTCCTCTTTCTCTCACTAACTCTGTTTATATATATATATATATATATATATATATATATATATATATATATATATATATATATATATATAACTCCAATGGCTATTCGAGAAGTTTTCAGACTTTGTAACATTTGGATGACATTAATATACCTAATAAGCTCTTATTCTCTACTGTATGTGACGACTGGAACAACTCTTGGAAGAAACCTTACTAAACTCTCCTTTTCACAGCTTAGTAGTTTACAGAATGTTGTCGCGATGTGAAGATAAATTTTAATCTTGCGATGCGATAATGTTTTTATGTTAACAAAGATGGGCATCAAAATAACTCCCCCTCCCCCCACCTCAACTTGCTCCCGTTGACTGGTTCTTAACCCTGCTGCAGGAGAACCTCAGGGTCACACATTTCGAAGAAACAGAGATGATAAATGAGGCTGTGATAAGGCTATTTGACACCTTTACTCATTGTATGTTTTCCATGGAGCTTCCACGTATTGGCTGGAGCGCTACAAGTTGAGGATAATACTTTATTACGTCTTTGCAATTAATACATATCTCTCCTGAAAATTTTCATCACTTCTGGAATACACCTCGTTACTCACTCTCTCTCTCTCTCTATCTCTCTCTCTCTCTCTCTCTCTCTCTATATATATATATATATATATATATATATATATATATATATATATATATATTCTCATTGCATTCTCTTCGTAACGTTTGTTTGTTATCACCACTCCAATCCCCCGTTTCATTTAAAGCGAATTTTCATATGTAAGACTGGATACGAAATACAGTCATATGCTGACAATTATGAGAAAATTACAGTAGTTCAAAATAGCTGAAGATTTTGTATTTTATACATATATATCATATTATTGTATATATATATATATATATATATATATATATATATACATAGAGAGAGAGAGAGAGAGTGAGAGAGAGAAAGAAAGAGAGATGTATACAGGTTGTATCAAAAATACTTTTACAAATTTCGGGGTGGGTTCCTCACACAAAAGTACCGGCAAAAGGTTATATAAACACATATCCGCAAATCCTTAGTTTTTGCGCTATTAAATTTAAAGAAAGTTTGCTATTGATGGCGCTGTGTTATCATGTAGACAAGGTTACGTTTGTTATTCGTGTACATTTGTGGCTAGTCTGTCTTTAACCTTTAAGGTGTGTAGTAGTGAGCTAACTGAGAAGTGTTCCGTTTAATAATGAAATGATATTTATATCGTGAGCAGGTAGAATGATAATGGACTCCAGGCTGCACGGGTGTATCATATTTCGTTTCCAGACGAAAGGCATCCGAGTCATCCAAACTTTGCTGCTGAATATCGTCGCGTTACTGAGACAGGATCTGTGGCAAGGTTTGTCGTCATGTGTAATGGCTATTGGGAACGCTTCCACCTCGAAAAGATTCTGATTTATTTTTATTTAATGAATTAATTCATTTATTTGCTCATTATATAATATGCACTTCAAGATACCATTTGCCGTGTGGAATGCTACTTTATTTAATGTGGGCAGTTTATTTTGTATACTAATAGTTTCTTGAGTTTTGAGTCTTTTCTTGCATTCTAGTAATATTCGTCGTACATTGATAGTTGTATTTTAGTGGTTAATGATGTGCTGGTCGATATGTGTACGGATTGCACTGAATTTCTACAGTGGCATGTCAATATCAGAGAGAGAGAGAGAGAGAGAGAGAGTGCGTGCCTAATGTAAGTATTTAATATTGATTTTTATTATTATTGTTGAAGTTGCAATCACCAAGATTGGGGTGTGAATACATAGACAACATAATCTTCATATAGGGGAAATTCATGAGATTCCGTTTTGTTGATAATATTTAAGTTAAACTTTGTGTAGTAGATGATAAATCGTAGGTGTTTGTTAGGATTATTGATTAATATATACCGGCGAATAATATATATATATATATATATATATATATATATATATATATATATATATATATATATATATATATATATATATATATATATATATATATTCTGTAAGACTATGCTCTCAAAATAATTCGATTGTGATCTCGCAGAGGAAGAGGTCATTATATAAACAGTGGCTGCTGCTAATAATGCAATCCTCCACTATTCAAATTGAGATCTCCTAGTTACTGACGGCTTTCGCATAGTAAAGTCGTTAAAATTACCCATCCGCCCAGCTGTGCGACGATAGCTTGAAATCGGTCGGGTTTCGATCCCAGTTTGTGGCAATAGGATGTCTAGCCACACTGATGTGTATGTATGTATATTATTATATAGTTGTAAATTTTCTTTAAAAAATACATTTATTTTGTAAGTTAAATACTAAAAAAATATGTTTAAGTTTATATATATATATATATATATATATATATATATATATATATATCGTATCTATTTATGCACGTTTATATAAGTATGCAATCATGTGGATATCATAGATTTGCCTACGTTATTTTGTTATTTTTATCATTAATATTGTTATTCATTTATTTAGCCACTTTTTTTTATATATAAATTTATAACCAATTATATGATGAGTATATAAGTCTTTACCTTACTATTTATATTACCCTGAATATAAATTTATAAATTGAGGTCTCATCATGAATTTAATTTTTCAATATTTTATATTAAAATACCGCCTTTGAATAATCCCCCTACCACCGATTGATTTGGTTATATATATATATATATATATATATATATATATATATATATATATATATATATATATATATATATATATATATATATATATATATATATATATATATATATATATATATATATATATATATATATATATATATATATATATATATATATATATATATATATATATATATATATATATACATATATATATGCATATATATATATGCATATATATATATATATATATATATGCATACATATATATATGTATATATATATTTTATGTTTATATATATGTATATATATAAACAAATATATATATATATATGTATATATATTTATGTATGTAAGTATATATATATATATATGCCTATATATGTGTGTGTCTGTCTATATGTATGTGTGTGTAAAAATAAAATAAAATTTTGTACAATTTTTGGTATGTGCTTAGGAAATGATTTCCTTTACGGAAATATCAGAATCTTAAAACAAATCCAAGTATACTTTTCACTAGATAGAAACTTTGCGCAAATGGCCCCCAAGCAAACCCACAACTACGTGCGCATAAACATCCACACGTACAGATCTACGTAGATACGTTTTGTGTGCATGAATGTATGTGTTAGTATGTCGGCACGTTTGCGCATGCGTGCATGTCATGTGAGAGCGTAACGGAAGTATGCCAATGCATAAAACAACATCGAAATTTGGGGGTGGGGACCAAAACGAAACGCATTTCAAAGTAATGTAAGCGCCAATGGTAAATAATTATTTCGAGCTTCAATTTGTTGCTTTGGTGATTATAATCGATTTGTTGCAGTTTTTATTTGTCATCAATGAATTTCTTCAACATTTATGTCGGCCCTGGCAAAACAGACGCGCCCATTTTCCTAGACGTTTTCAAGATGAGCGGAAATCGCGGAAAATTTGATAAATAAACAAACAATAATAAGATTAAAAGTTTTCGGTCATCCGAAAAAATATTTCAATTGAATCTAACTGTTTCTTTGGAAGAAAGAGACTTTAGATTCGGAACTATCGGCGCTAGTGTTTCAATAATTTTTATATATATATTGTGATATTTTTTACGCTATTTCGATGCTTTCTAACTTTCACCACATGCATAAATCCATACATAGGGATCTCTTAATGGTTATATGCATATATATATATATATGTGTGTGTTTGTGCGTGTGTGCGCGTGAGAGAGGGAGAGAGAGAGGGACAGTGTGTCTGTGTGTGTGTGTGTGTGTGTGTGTGTGTATTCACCAATATGTATGAGTACTCTTTATTGTTTTATGTCATAGTGATAAAGTTAGTAAAATCATGATGCCGAAAGCTACGAAATTTAATTTTCATGTGCAGATGGATATTAAATTCTAAAGATCTGCTGCTAAAAATTTGTTTCGTCATGCACATATTATAGATAGATAGATTGATAGATAGATAGATAGATGTGAACAGACACATAGATAGATAGATAGATAGATAGATAGATAGATAGATAGATAGATAGATGTGAACATAGATAGATAGATAGATAGATAGATAGATAGATACGTATCGAGAATATTGTTTGAAAATATTTTTGTCGAAAACAGTTATTCGAAAAATATTTCTTCGCATTGTAAATGTTTTGAATGAAAATTAATAGAATGGAGAAATATACTAAATGATAATTATTCGAAATACTTATATTTGAAATACGTAAGTCGTTCTGCTTTGGGAGAGTCAATGCTGATTTACTGAATACTATTGACACCATTGAAGGATGGCATAGGGTATTTTCTTTTTGCAGCACGTGTCATCCCATCATCCCACTGTATGGGAATTCTTAGACGCTCTTAAAGAGAACAGGACTTGCGAGAAATTCATATTGCACAAGTAAGAGCATGTTACCAAAACAACAGTGCCAAGAAATACCGTGACGTAAAGTGCCAAGAAATACCGTGACGTAAATGAAAAACTTTAAAAAAATAATTGCAACCTTTAAAGAGTACTCTTCAGTACTTGACTACATGCAGTATCATATAACTTTAGGTTATAAGGATTTTTTCTTACTGAATTGTTTATTAACGATATTTGCATTTCAAATCAGTTTCTCTATTTCCTCTTTTGATTTTTACATTTTTTTTTTGTTAATTTGCATTTACAATAATTATCATTTATTAGACATACATACACACATATAAAGAGAGAACGAGGAAGAGAAACTTGATTTAAATTAACTCTAAAACTAGGCAAGCAAAGTGGTACGAACAACTCTTCAAGTCAGCGAGAGGGTGTCTTGAAAAATCCTAACTTTTACTTGGGCGGAGTCATTGGCTATCGGCAAAACTGGAAAATACGCACCTGATTTTTTTAACGAGGGAGAGCATTTAGAGTAACCATATACGACAGTTTCCATGTCCGTGTGTAGGTGTGTACGCACGCGCACACACATCCACGCGCCTAGAAATTCTTCTTCTATGCGACGTGTCCGCTCAGAATGTCAGCGATCGTGGCTCTCCATATTTTCCTGTCCTTTGTAGCTCTTATTATGTTTTGGCTTTTTTTTTGTAGCCCTCGTATACCCTGTTCTGCCATCGGTTTACTTAAGCTTGCTACGTAGATGCGTTGATTTTCTTCGTTCCATTTTCTTTCAATTTACCCCAAAACTACAACTGTCTCTTTTTGATGTTAAGTATAAGTTTCATTTTGGATTCCATTTTCTCTAAAACTTCGTCGTTGCTCATATGCTCGGTCCATGTTATTCTCGGCATTCATTCTGTAGAGCCACATTTCTTTTGCTTCATTGCTGTGCTTCATCTGCGATCAAATTCTCGAGCATTCCCTGCCGTATAGCAGAACTGATATTAGTTTATAGATCGCTATTCTCTTTTTTGTTTGTAACGATCTGTCATGTTTCCTAATAAGTTGTTTAGCTTATGTTTTAGACAAATGTAGATATAACTTCAAACTGAATCGAATGTATTAAAATATAATCTAAGTAAATAACAATTGAGTTATAGTAACTAGAAATGTAGTCATCTGACTAACGCGAAATCACGTTGTGTCTCGTCAATACAGATTTCGTTGAAATAAGATCCATTTTCTGATGATGCTAATTGATTAGCGAAACATGTCGAATTTCAGATTGTCTCATATATCTACCAATACATCGTATGTAATCCTTGATAATTCGATATGAAGCAAAACATGTCTTATGTCTTATATCAATAATGTTTCAGTGTCACATCAAATATTGTTGTTAAGAAATGTTTTAATTTTTACCAATCGGATTTCTTTCTTGGTAAATTTACGAAACGTATGTACGTTTGTGTGCAAAGGATATCACAATGTATAACGCGGTTACTTAATTAGCATTCGATTTTTTACAATACCCTACACTTTCCTATAAAGTACACAAAGAGATAGCAAATACATTAGCCAACAGTTGTATTTAGATTTAATTATTCCATGACAACATCTTAATTTATCGATCAGTTCGGAATGCCAATTAAGAAAGAAGCACATTCAATGAAATACAGATATTTTTAATTTGATTTCATTTCATTTTCTCTAATGTAATTTTCGGCTGGAAAATTAAATGCTGGTTGGCGTGATGAAATTAATTTAGTTCATATTCTTTCATAAAGCGAAGGAAAAAAATAATAGTAAAAAAAAAACTAATAAAATTTGAATGTGAATTCAGAGAAAATCGAAGTGAACAGAAGAAACAGAATACAAATCAGAAAAAAAATAGAAAATTAAAAAGGAAGTGGAAAAATAATAATGAAGTAAAAGGGAGATAATAATAAAAGAAAGAAAGAAAGAAAGAAAGAAAGAAAGAAAGAAAGAAAGAAAGAAAGAAAGGGAAAATAACGGAGGAAAGAAATAAGTGAAAGAAGACACGGAGAAAGAAAGAAAGAAAGAAAGAAAGAAAGAAAGAAAGAAAGAAAGAAAGAAAGAAAGAAAGGGAAAATAACGGAGGAAAGAAATAAGTGAAAGAAGACACGGAGAAAGAAAGAAAGAAAGAAAGAAAGAAAGAAAGAAAGAAAGAAAGGGAAAATAACGAAAGAAAGAAAGAAAGAAAGAAAGAAAGAAAGAAAGAAAGAAAGAAAGAAAGAAAGAAAGAAAGGAAAATAACGGAGGAAAGAAATAAGTGAAAGAAGATACGGAGAAAGAAAGAAAGAAAGAAAGAAAGAAAGAAAGAAAGAAAGAAAGGAAAATAACGAGAAAGAAAAGAAAAAAACGAAAGAAAGAAAGAAAGAAAGAAAGAAAGAAAGAAAGAAAGAAAGAAAGGGAAAATAACGGAGTAAAGAAATAAGTGCAAGAAGACACGGAGAAAGAAAGAAAGAAAGAAAGAAAGAAAGAAAGAAAGAAAGAAAGTAAGAAAGAAAGAAAGAAAGAAACAAACAAACACACACAGGGAAGTAAATTATATGAAATAAAAGATGAACAAGACTAGGGATAAGGAAAATGGAAAAAAATAATCGCAAATAAGTAAAATTTCTAATTTAACTGAAACACGGAAAAGAACAGCAAAGAATATTTTTAAGAAAAAAGGAAAAAAAAATTAAATGAAGGAGAAAGAAAAGAATGAAGGAAAAGCCGTTTTTAGGAGATAAGTAAAGAAGAATAGAAAAAATATATTTGGAGAAAGAAAGAAAGAAAGAAAGAAAGAAAGAAAGAAAGATAGAAAGAAAGATAGAAAGAAGAAAGTAAGTTTTGTTTTAGGCATGTAGTGAAATAGAAGAAATCTAAGCAAAGAATAAAGAAAGTGAAAATTTAAGTGAAAAGCAGAAAAAAGTAAGATGAAAATCGTAGCAAAGTCTATATTCAGTAGAGAATAAGGACGTTTATAAAAAAGAAAGAAAGAAAGAAAGAAAGAAAGAAAGAAAGAAAGAAAGAAAGAAAGAAAATGAAAGAAAGAAAAATGTAACATGAGTTTTATTTATTTATAAGATTTCATCAAAAAGGAAAAAGAATAAACTTTGGGAAAGAAAGAAAGAAAAAAGAAAGAAAATAAAAAAATTGAAAATGATTTGAAATCAAGGGAAGCTATAGAAAGAGAACGTGTAAAAGAAAGAAAGAAAAAAGGAAAAAAGAAAGAATTAGAAAAGAGAAAGAAGCAAATGAAAATTGTTTTTAAAACAATGAAATAAGTAGAAAGGGAAACTGGCAAAAGAAAGAAAGAAACAAACAAACACACAAACAAAAAAAGAACAAAAGAAAAGAAGAAAGAAAGAAAAGGAAAAGAAAGGATAAAAGAAACAAAGAAGAAAAGAAAGAAAGAAAGGAAGATACAAATAGAAAAAACACAGAAAACGTACGAAAGAAAGAATTGTAAATAAAGAAAATTAAAATCAGTATATCTTAATGAAAGAAATAGAAAAGTCTTAGAAAAATAGTAAATAGATAAAGAAGAAAGAAAATAGCTAAAGTAAAAAAAAAGAAAAATAATATGTAAAAAATATAAAATGAATAGCAAGAAGAAAGATAGATAGATAGATAGATAGATAGATAGATAGATGAATAGGAATTAAAGAAAGAACGAAAATGGTAAAGAAAGAAAAAGAAAATGTAAAAATGAAAGAAATAGAAAGAAAGGAAATGAAAGGAAAAGAATACAAAAATATATCCTTGTCAGAACAGTGTGCATTATTTGACGGATATGGCCGATATAAAACAAAATATAATTTTTATTATGCCCGATGAAAATCAAATTGCCCTATTTACCGTCTCCACCCTTTTGGGGGTCAATTTATGTTTCATCGTTACCTCTGTTATCGTTATTATTAGTCTTCTAAATATCATTACAGTGGTCGAGCTGAGGTGCAGGCTGTGACGGAAAACATAGGAAAGAAGTTTGGATTATGCGTCGCATCATTTATGGAAACCCTTAAAATTATCAAGGGAAGGATTGAATAGATAGAGAAACAATATTTGAACCAATATCAACCGAAGATTGTAGATAGTGAAAATATAAATTCAATTATGTCCGTATTTGGCTAACGTGTAAGAAATAATTACGTTTTTTTTTTTTTTTGAATATTTTCTTAAATTATTATTATTATTTTATTATCAGCATTAGGGTTTATAGTTACGAAGAGACAGTTTCGTTTGCGTGGATTGGAAGGGAAGGTCATCAAATAAATTCAAGTACAAACGGATTCAGAAATATTTGAAGAATTGGAAATAGGATAAAGGTTATCTCCCTTGAGCTTCACGTTTTCACGCGCTTTGATCGCTGGGTAATTATATAACTATTATGTTCGATATAATAACATGTTTATTATTATTTTTTTATTTTTTATTTTTTGAATTGATTCATCGTAACTGTTCACACGAGTTCGAAATGATGGCTTCCGGTGGAGATTAATTGACAAACACACTGTTAATATACGCACACTCTACGTAATACCGGGACATTTATTGGTGGAAAAAAAACAACGACAAAACAAAAACAAAAACAAAAAACGTTGAAATAGAGATAGAAATGAATTGACGAAGTATATAGAGATAAAATAGTATAAAAGATAAGGATACATCGTCTGATAGGATTTATTCAACATATATATTTAGGCGATCCTAAGGGAACTAGAAGTCCTAGGAAAATGTATTATTGGTGGACACTATCTTAACAAAAGATAATGCGCAGACAAAAACCTTTATTCTTGGCAGAGAGATAAAGAAATCGTCCAAAAAATAACTGCGAGACAATGTAGTTAAGGACAGCTAAAGGTAAGGTTTAACCATCAATTATAAGTAATCAGAATATATAGTCATGAGCAAAAGGGATGGCACATAAAGCAAGCTACAAACTGGGGATGTTAGTGTAAAGCAAGTACAGAAATTTAATTATCTGGAAAGTATTATAACAGACGAAGGAAATTGTGAAAGAATTGAGAAGACACATTTGAGTATTAAAAAATATAAAAAAATATCGTTCGAAAAAACATTAACTCGAAAAAGAGCTCCTTAAGTTTTACTTGTTTTGAATATTTTTTTTATTTTTTGAATATATATTTTTATATTTACTCCCTTGATTACTTATTTGATGTATTTGGGGATAGATTAAACTAATTCGATGCCGATACTGGAGAAAAGGCAGCATGCATATTTTTCAAATCACTTCACCCTAAGCAAGGCGGTAATGCCTCTAGTATACAAGGAGGTTACACGGGGTGAAAACGAAAAAGAAAACTGAGAATAGGGAGGATTGAGAAAATGACAAAAAACGAACAGGGTTCAAGAAGACAGAAGATGGCGATTGACGTTGCATTTAAATATTTGAAGATTGTAATTATCAGGGAAGCAATTGAACGAAAGGTATTACCGCAGGTGTGTAGTGCGAGAAAAAGAGATTTTTGGAGTAGAAATGGCGGTTGGTCAACAGTAAAACGGTGGGAACAAGTTGCCAATCTAGTAGCACGCTTAAATTAATTTAGTCGGAGCACAAGAAAAAAAGCTTGTCGGTCAAAAGCCATTAAAATCTTTATCGAAAAGACAGAAGGAGGCCATGTCAGGACGGTGAGATAGTGACTGAAGTCGACATGACTGATCAGGATCGATTACATTAAAGATCTTCTTTGGATTTTGTCAAGAATCTCGAGATGTACAGCAGAAACTCCAGACCAGATATGGCAACAGTATTCAAGGCACAGACAAATGGAAGAATTGTACATGTGCAAGATGGAATCTGACGAGGAAAATTTTCTGGCACAACACAGTGACACAACGTTCCTTGAAGAAACAACCGATTCGACATAGTTGCTCAACTTCATGTCAGTGGAAAATGTCCAAGGGGGCGTAGGGTGTTGGAGTTTATCGCTATTAACAGTAACGAAAATGTGAGTGGATGTGGAAATAATATATATATATATATATATATTAGATCATGTACGCGTGCGACTATAGTTTCGTTGGGTGGAGTTACCAGTTCGTCTGGCACGGGGTCTGTATCACCGCATTGAGCACTATTACATTTACACCTCATGCATAGATTTAACGATTATTTATTTACTTGCCTGCATATGTATAGCAGCACATGCAAACACGTCTGCTTATATTTGTCCGTTTCAATTTATCCACTCTAAAACTATATATATACGCGGGAAATCAAGAGAAGGCTGGCAATAGCAAGAAGTGTTACGACGCAAATAGGAAGCATTTGAAATCGTCGGGGTATACATTGAAAAGTTGAAATGAGTAATAGCCACTGATTTCGCTCTCGCCAGCTACGGATGCGAGTCCTAAGCACTGACCAAGAAGTAAATACACTGAGAGTCCCAAGGACAGCAGAACACAAATAAATGGGTGCTAGATACCATCAGATAAAATATGTACCGATGAGGGTAGAGTACTTCCGTAGTGTGGTAAAATAAAAAAGGACGCCTTGATATGTACTTATTTTTTGCCAGAGAAACAATATCACGAAAGATATTTAAACAGATATACAATGTTGATTTTTTTCTAAAACACTAGTGGACAGAGAAAAGTTATTGCGTATGATTAAGATTAAGTGTTATTGCATATGATTACACACACACACACACACACACACACACACACACACACACACATATATATATATATATATATATATATATATATATATATATATATATATATATATATATATATATATATATATATATATATATATATATATATATATATATAAGCGTTTCACCCAAGCAAGGCGGGAAGCCACTAGGACGCAAGGGGTTACAGAATATTTGGAGCAAGATCAGATAGGAGTGATAGCGGATAGATCAAGGCAACAGGAGATGTCGATTGACATTACATTTGAATAATTGGAGATTATAGCTCTCAGGGAAACTGGAGTAGGGAAGGGAGTTCCACAGGCGAGATGGTGCGAGATATGAAGCTATTGGAGTAGAAGAGACGGCTACATTTAATAGTTTCAACAGTGAAAGGGTGAGAGAGCAGGAGGCCAGCCTCGTAGGCCGCTTGAATTCATGAAGTCTGGGAACCAGCGAATGCAGCTCCTCGAAGCAATTACCATGAAAGTATTTGTAAAAAAGACAGAAAAGAAAATATATATATATATATATATATATATATATATATATATATATATATATATATATATTTGTGTGTGTGTGTGTGTGTGTGTGTGTTAAATTGTACAAGGGAGCTAACTTTTGTTTTTTAAAAAGTGGAAAGAATCTGTATTCATATTTTAATTTAGTATTTTACTATATACGCAATCATTGTTCATTAGGGAAGATGGCTTTGATAAGGACATTCTGCTGGGGCCTTATGAGAGCATGTGGCGCCAGTGACGACCACCTATATCTTGGTATGATGATTTTAGGAGATCATCTGAAATGACGGTAGCTGAGCCTGTAAGAGTAGCATCAGAAAAAGAGAGATGGGGCGGGTAGTGGTGACCACAGCGGCGCAAAAGTACTGAATAACTGAATCAATGATGAGGATACCGGACATTACGATGGGCATTAATTTGTTAACCTCAAAATACCTGCTGTTTAGTCAATGAAATGCTGCTTTTGAGAACAATTCGAGCAGATAAATTTCTAGAATATATATTCATTATTGAACTCTCGATTCATCAACAAACTAAAGTATGTGCATTTAAATAAACACGCGTTCCTGTGTGCCTGCTTGAATGCTTTCTTGCGTCCATGTCTTCACGTTAGTTTGATTGATTTCTTTTTATGGATTATCAACATGTTGTATGCTGTTTAAGCCAGAAAATGTTTCTAGATTCGAAGAAACTTCTTCAAATAATAATTGCTTACTGATACAATTCCTACGAATTAATCCACAGGGGAAAAGAGGTGGATTCATAATTTAGCCCGAGAGTGATTAGAACGAACCCGACTGGATTTGGAGCTCGGCTTTCCGACTTCTAGTTCCGTGCGTTTATCCATTACACCACCCGCACATTCAAGCTTACAGCACTTGGTATTTCCAAGAGGTCACCCCTCTAGGTACTGACAAGGCTTGACGTTACTTAAAATCGGTGATCCTTCAAGAACCTGTACTTCAACGTGACAGGGTTAGAAGCTCTGAGCCTTTGAGTGTATCCATGTGTTCAGCTTTTGTGTCATGTCTTTATGGTTTTAGACAACGCGAGTTTTATTCGCTGCATTATTGCCTGCTACCAAATATCGATATCAAAAACAAATACTTAAACCATAAAGGGATTGCTACAGTTGGTAATTATTATTACGTTTTATGTTGTTTTTTTATTCGCTTTCATTTTTGAGATAACAGCGACATTCGAGAATTTATTAAAATTCAAAAGGTAAACTATTTAATCCTCACGTTATTTTTGTAAATATTTAATATTCATTCCAGATGGGAACTTTTATAATTTCATTGTAATAACTTTCTCTTAGATCTCATCGAAAAAAATAGTTGTTTCTTATGTACAACTGCGACATCTTACCTGTTTGAGTATTCCAAAGGTTTTCATTTAAAACCTGTGTTTCATTGATTCGTTTTTTACGGCTTATCAACCCATTACAGGTTATTTAAAGCCAGAAAGTAATCTTTGATTGAAAGAATTCATTTTTATATGCGTAGGGGAGAGATAATAATGATCTAATCTTACTAATTAACCCGTATCATTCTCCACAGGAGTCGGTAGATAGAGAAATGTGTATAAAATATCTAAAGTTCGTACGATATAGCTAATATGAATACAAAAATAACAGCACATATTAATATGCAATATATGCTTTCCCGTTTAAGAGTTACAGATGAGTTATATATATAATGAAATAGACAAATTCTGAGAATTATCTTAAGATATTTTTATACATTCTTTTTATAGATACAAATATTTAAGTAAATGCTCTGTTTATAATAAACAGTATTAATAACATTTACCGGCCTGAATGTCCGAGAAATTTTCATAGAAAATATTCGTACTCCGACAGAAATCGAACCTGTATCCTATATGGAACCGTCATATAGCCTGATGTGCCTTAACCGATTGAGCCACAGAGGATCTTTTGATTAGCAAGATCAATTTTACTGCTTTTAAACTGCAATCTTCCATGAATCCCTCACGTACATTCATATCTGCTCAAAGTGTATCCAAATGTAAACAAATGGCGTCACACATTATGGAATGGACAAGTTTTGTCGAACTTATCCATTACACCCCGAGTACATCTAAGCTTACATCCTCTGGTATTCCAAAATGGTCACCCATCTGGGTACTGACCAGGCTTGACGTTAAGTTCAGTGATTGCACGGCAACCGGTGATTCAACCTACTGTAGCCCTAAACCCCCAAATCTGTGTTTAATTCACAGAAAAGATAATACTTACAAAACACTAAATATAGTAAATAAACTTCATTTTAATTGTATTTTGTGTTTTTCCCACAGAAATAATGGCGCTTCTGTGTTAAGCCTAGAGTAATATTTGTAATTATCATTTAAATGTCTAATTTAAAAGGGTTTGTTATCTTGTCTTTTTATATTAGACTAATGTAATGTCTACAAAATAATATTTTATTTAAAAAATATTCATAGGGTTATCTTTTGCAGCCAAGTATTTTGTCTATCTTTCTTCTTTCCATATCAGTAGAATTGTGCATTCTCCCATGTGTGAACGTGGCTAAGTTTCATTTGTGAAATATTTAAGTTGGTGGAATCTCTGATCAGACAAAGTTTTGCATTGAAGTGATTGCACACTGACGGTGATAGATCTAAAGAAATTCGCATGAAAACTGTAAGAATTATTCTGTCCAAGATGCTTACGAAGGTTGCAGATTCCGACAGTTTAAATAGAACTGTCCACTTTCAGATGCATGAAAGATGTTAAGGAAATCAAGACTGTAAAGTTAATATTCAATTCTTTTCTCACTACCCAATGTTTTTTGACCATGCTGACATAATTCTGCTTACATTTTCGCATAGCGGTAACTCTTTGAATGTACACGTTCTGTCTTTTTCAGGTTATTTATGATAGGAGGCATATAAAGGTCACTATGAATGTTTACGATCTTTCGATGTATATTATTTGAATCTTGAGGACAGTTTTTTTTTAATTCAATAAACTCAACGTCGGTGTTCATTACACGTAATTTGTTCTGTTTTAAAGCGTCGTACATACTAGTTGAGTGATATTCACCTAACTGTTCTCCAAATCTGTCTCGAATCCACCTCTCAGTTAACCAGCTTTTCAATTATATATTTCGCTGAATGCTGCTTAATTTCTTCACGGATGAAAAGAAAACTGGGGGTCGACAGAAATTATTGTTTTAGAATAATGTTCACCGTGTACAAAGCCCGAGAGTCACTCGATGTAGAAGGTTACAGAGAAGGGGCACATTTTTTTATGCGAAGATGTGGGGAAGAGAACAAAAAGCACCCTCTTGGGAATCGTTTCCAGCAGCGGTCTGTGGGAAGAATCTGCTCGAGTAGAATTTACATCTCACCAATAAAATACGAAGGGAAAAAGAGTGAAACACTACGATGGGCGTGGAATGGAGCGCCTTAGCCGTGAGGGATAGAATTGGTGAGACTAAAAAATGTAGTTCGTCTGAAGATAGCGACACAGCAGCGAGCGGGGTGCGACGTCTTGTCTCTAAGAAAGGAGTTGTAGGGTACAAAATAATTTCTTACCCACAAGGACGCAGATACGTTTTTGGACTCTATCGAGAGTTGAAAGTGATGACTGTACAGCCGCTTCCCGTATATGACAAGAGGACTCCAGTTTTGGCCCGATTTGGTAAAGGATAACAGGAAGAGCCAGATATAGATTGGAGCGATAGAGGGAGCCGAACATTTTCCCAGCATCTTTAGCGATGGGCCGTATATACGTGTTTTACTTGAGTTTAAATACCAATAGGCGATTAAAACACGGGGCCTCCCTAAGGGAACATCTGTTCATTGTAATTAGTGAATTCTTAGTCTGCTACAGTGCCTATGAACGGAGCGCGCAAGCAACGAAGGAGTCTTAAGAGAAATGGGGAAAAAAGGACACGTTTACTCAGAATCAAAAAGAGACAGATGCATTTTATTTTGCCGACATGGAAGAAGGATGCTTTAGAGGATATGACATTACCGATAACAAGAGAGACAGGAGAAGGAAGCAGGCCGCTTACTTGAAAAGCTTGTATGGATCGGCGGAAAGGCGGATGGTCGGCTTGGTCAAAGGACAAACA